AGCTCTCAGGGGCAGTGTGGCAGCCATGCTCCCGGAAGTAGCAGACATAGGCATGAATGTTTCTGCTCTTGGCTGGCCCAGCCACCCTTCAGGGCCACCACTGGAGTCTCTGTGACTTGCAGCAAGTCCTGGCTCGCCTGGTTCTCGGACCTCCCACGGAATGGGAAGACGAGGCCCCCATTTCTCCTGCCCCTGACCGGTCCTTCTTCTCCTTTGCATCATACAAGGCTCTTGGGCAGCAGATCCCCAAACCCAAGGACTGTGTGTTAAACAAATATTACGTGGACCTTGATCCCTGGGAATGTAGCGGCTGGAAGCCCTGATTGCCTGTGAGTTTCTGGTTTTGATCAGTTCTGGTCCCATTTCTGCACTCAGTGTGCATATGGAAATTTTCAAATCTACTTGGCCCAACCCCGGGGACAGTGATTGAGGACGAGGAAGCCGGGGGTGTCCCTGACAAATTCCTTGTAGCCCCCAGAGCTGTGCTGGTCACCTTGGCTCCAGCATTGCTGTCGCCAGAGTTCAGCCTCTGCAGGGACAAGGGCCGTCTGACTGGGATGGAGACCAGAACTACAGTCGCCCGCCCAGAGCTGTCCCTCTCCCCGCACCCTCGCCAGACCACGGCCCTCCTGCTTCAGACGAGGACCTCCAAACCACGCACCACTTCATAGGCCAAAATAGAGACTTTTACTTCCAAACATCAAGCAGATACATAAAAAAAGGAAAATGCAAAACAGCAGAGAAAGTATCAAACCATCTTTTAGAGCACTGCTACTTCCAACTTGAACCACAGGTGAGGACGGGACCTTGCACTTTATTTTTTTTTTTATTTTTTAATTTCTTTGTCTTTTTGAGGCAGGGTCTCGCTATGCAGTTTAGGTTGGCCTTGAGCTCACTTTGTAGCCCAGGCTGGTCTCGAACTCACAATGATCCTCCTGCCTCAGCCTACTGAGTGCTGGGATTACAAGTGTGCACCACCACGCCTGGCAACCTTGCACTTTAAAACACAGCCCGGTGTGGAGTGAGGGGGTCCCTGGGTCTCTCCTTCCCCAAGAAGCCAGGAAGGCGGGAGGATCTCAGCTGGCTTTGGACCTGATGTGAGCAGAGGTGACACACGTGCTCCCAGATGGTCATTCGGCTGCGATACTGGTGCTTTTGTGCCTTCCTTCACCGAAAATGTCACTGACTACAAAAAACTGTTTATAACCACAAATGCTCTCACAAGGGGATGTGGCCCCTCTGCACACTGTTTATATGACTGAACATTTTAAACAGTGGCATTAGCTTGCTTTGGACACCAAAGACAACTTCGGCAACACCCTGTACACATGCACACCCCTCACCCGTCACCACCAGAGTGACACCGTGTCAGGCACATGAGCCCCCAGTACCGAGTTAGTGACCTGCTCTCAGGAGCCAAGGGTGGGCTGACTTTGCTTGTGTGGAGTTGGCTTAGGGCACAGCAGGAATGCGGATGGGCTGATGCCTCTAGTTTGGGCTCTGAGGAGTACCAAGCTCCCCAATCCGGCCACTGTCTCTTGAGGGGGAGGCAAAGGACACTACTGACCCACCAGGGCTGGTATTGGAAGTGTGTGGTGAGAGCAGGGCACCCATAAAGCTCAGCTTTCCTGTATAAGCAGGTGTCTCTGGGTGACGGAGAGCCAGGGCCCCCATCAGCATCCCCTTGGGTGGGGGGATGACAGCAGGACATAGTTGCTCCCACAATAGCCAGCAAGTGCCACCTATCTGGGGAATGGTCCCAGCCAGGGTGAGCTCCCTAAGTTCCCATGGGCTGAGGTCTCTGCTGTCCTGAAGCCCAGGGCTGGACCAAGGGCTGATCAGCCATGCTTCTGTCTAGTCCACGCACACACGTCATTCACACACACACCGAGCTCACAAGCACACACAACCTTCTCCATCCACCCACTCCTCACTGGTGGAAAATGCTTCTGGAACATGTAGCGTCACTGCCCCTTTGCTCCCCCGAGGAAGAAGCCAGGGGTTCACAGCAGGCAGTGACCTCACAAAGCACCCTCTGTCTCCCGCTGTCCCTGGGAGCAGTGGCTGGCTGGTGTCTGTTTCCGTGGGAGACTGACACACATCCACCCTGCCCTACCTCAGCCACTCCCTCCTGGGGCTCCCAGCCCCGAGGGCAGTGGGGTTAAAGAGCTCCTGGCTAGCAGGGGGTGTGGGGAGAGGCCCTGCAGCCCTACCCTGGGGAGGCACCTCCAACTCCCTAGTCCACTGTGTCCCACAGCGGGGAAGTTCCATGCAGTGGCAGAAAGGTCACCTGTCTATCTTGGAGCCCATCATGCCTGGGCTGGTGAGCTGCTTGCTTCTTGGCAGGCTTCTAACCCTCTCTGTGATGTGGCTTCTTGTAGATCTCTCTTCTAGGAGTCCTTCCCTCCTTTTTCATCAGAGGAGGAAGAGGGGCTGCCAGCCTTTGTCCTTCCTCCCAAGGTATCAGGAATGGATCAGCCTGGTCCCTGGTTGCTGACCTCAGGGTAAGCATTCTAGAAAGGAAGCCAGGATCCTTCGGGGAAACTGAGGTTCTTCTCTGCAATTGCAGTCTCCGGTCTGAGTATGTGGTTGGGTACCATATGAGGTTGCCTTGACAACCAATAAGCAGAGAAGTGCTGGGGGATGTTGAGTACTGCAGACCGTTCTTTAAGACTCTGGGTATCTTGCTCTGAGATTTGCTTTCGACCACAAGCTTTTGTTTGCTGATGTCCTTTCAAAACAAAGCCATCCTTGTTCTAACTTACACAAGCAGAAGGATTTCTCAGGTAAACTGATGCCAGGGGAACAAAGGTGGCTGGTTTTAGGGTCTGGCTGTGGGCCCCTGCTAGAGGGGTTCTGTCTATGGGGTAACAGGCCCCCCTGTGAAGTGGCCACTCACTGTCCCTCTCCAGGCCTCATGGTCTGCTAGAGAAGAAGGGGCTGTCCTGGAAGAGACAGAGGGCTCCACGTCCCAGGATTTGTACCCAGGGGCTCCTTGTGCTCACAATCAAGCCAAAGCTCACATGAACTTCCTGGCAGAGTCCAAATGCAAAGGAGCGACGAGCTCAGCCTAAGGGACACACACAGCCTGGCTGCAACGCCGCCACATTCTGCATGTAGAGCCTAAGATTCAGTCGTGGAGGGCAGGGTGATGCCTAGCTTTCTCTCCACCTGTGGCAGGGACACCTAAGCGCCACACCAGAGCACTCTGCCCTTCTTTCTTGCTAAAAGAACCCATTTCATTGGGACACATGGTCCCAGACACCTGGCAGATATGGGAGAACTGTGTCACCCAGCCTTGACCTGCAAGATGAGAGCAGAAGTCACCGACTGGGTGGCGCTTCTGGGGATGCCCTCCCCCTGTCCCACCTGGAACCCAGGTAAAAAACTGGAGGTGGATGAGCACTTTGTGCTGTGAGGTGTCCTGGACCAGAAGAGCAGAGCTGTACAACTTTGGTCCTGACATCCATGAGCTGATTCTCTCTTCCTCCTCCTCGCCTCTCTGTCTGTCTCCATCTCTCTTCTCTTCTCTCTTCTGGGTCTCCTCTCTCTTACACACCCACACGCATACACTGGCTAGCCTGTGACAGTCCCTTGTCTCACCCCAGCTCTAAGAGCCCTCTCTCTGAGGACCAAGGGGAAGCGCACACCCGGGTTCCCAACACCTTTCTCCAGGGCTGGCAAGTGGTGCCATGAACAGTAACATCGGTCCACACCCATTTTCATCTGCTGCAAGACATTCCATTGCAGAAGCACCCATAACTGGGCTGGTGTATCATATTACAACCGTATATATATGAAAATAATGAAAATATCATTTTTCTCTGTAAAAATAATTATGAAATACAGACTTTATGGCATCATTATCAAAGTCTAAAACTATAGACATTTCCACCCAGCAGCACACCCTGTAGATCCTCCCTCCCAACACGTGCACGTGTGACACAACTGGTGTGTGGCTTTTTCTTTTATATTCTTTATATTTTTTCCTTTCTTTCCTTTTTCCTTTTTTGTGGTACTGGGAATTGAGCCCAGGACCGTTGCTCTGAGGTACATCCTCAGCCCTGTTTTATTGTGAGAGGGTCTCACCAATTTGCTAAATGGCCCGGGTTAGGCTCAAACTCGTGATGCTCCCGTTTCAGCCTCCCAGAGTGCTGGGATTGCAGGTGTGCACCACAGTACCTGGCCACCTTTTTTTTTTTTTTTTTTTTTTTGGTGGCAGTGCTGGGGACAAAGTCAGGGCCTCAGGTAAGCTGGGCAAGTGCTCTGTTCTGCACTACAGCCTGGCATGGCTTCTTCTCTTGGAGATGCAGACGGAGCAGTGCTGCGGTGAGCAGGACGCTGCCCGGGTTCAGCTCTGGCCTTGCAGCCCCTCATGGTGGCCCTGGGTGAGTTCCTTCCCCTCCTGGGCCTCAGCTTTCTTGCCTGGGAAGTGGAGAGTGGGATGTACCCCGTCATGGCCCTGCACTCAGGCTGCACTGTCTGACAAGCGGAGCCACTGGACTTGGCTACCTGCTCCTTAGTCTAGCTTCCCTGGTCGTCTGGCGCAGACAGGGAGAAAAGTGATCGCCCAGGCTCCGTCTCCCTGCCCCAAGGGAGCTCAGGTCCTCCAGGTCCCCTGCCAGGATAGCAGATGGCAGGGCCTGATACCTGGGTGGACGGGTCTCCGTCCCTAGGAGAGCAGGGTTTGGGGTGAGACCCCTCAGTGTCTCAGTGTCCCCTCTGCTTAAAGTGCCTGCTTGCATCTGTAACATTTTCTCATTCCAAACCAGTCACAAGGTCTGAGGAAATCCCTCCAGGGTGCCTATGGATAGCTGAACAGACAAATCTACCTACAGAGTGCGTACTAAGTATTTTTTAAGAGGAGAACATTTAGCATTGACTTAGGCAGAATCTGACCCAGGGACTGAACTCATGGCTTTTGTACTGAGCTACACTGCCAGCTCTTTTTAATTTTTATTTCGAGACAAGGTTTCACTAAGTTGCTAAATTGCCTTCTGGGCTCCAACTTTGCAATCCTCCTGCCTCAGCCTCCTAGGGTGCTGGGATTACAGATTTGTGCCACCATGCCTGTCTGCGATCCCATTTTAAAGCCCTTAGGAACAATCCAGAGTTCTGTGCAAGGAGAAGCCAAGCTTCCAGCCTTTGGGCCCAGCATGGAGTCACCCCGGCCCCTTCCCACCTCGCCCAGGCCAGGCTGCAGCCAGATGAGGTGGCCTGGGCCTTGGGCCCATGTGGGGGTGCGGGCGGGACATTCTTGGCCTAAAGGACCTGCCTTACTCCCAAGTCCCTTCTGGGAAGGGGAAGAAGAGCTCTCGAGGCAGCTCGGGCTCCAGGCCAGGCCCTTGGGCTCTGGCGGCTGTGCGGCAGGTGCTTCCTCTCCCCCTCAGCTCGCGTTCCAGACGCAGTGAGCTTAGTGCAGTCACAGAGGTGACCAGGCTCCCTGGACTCTCAGGGGCTCCCAAGTCTGCCCCTTCTGCATGGAAATGAGAAACCAAGTCGACCTCCTTCCCCTTCCTCCCCAGACAGAATCCCCGCACGGCCATCACGTAAAACCTTCCTGAAGGCCCTGATCAGTGCGGCACGCCCACGCTGGCGTGAACCATCAGAAGACATCGAGCTCCTGCCCCATCTGTCTCCCTGTCACCATGCCTGCCTCTGGTCATGCCCATTTCTCCTTCTAACCCATACACCAAGCCTTTGTGGTTTAAAAACCATCTCACCGCCTAGAGTGAGAGCCTCCAGGCTCCGGACCAGGGGCCGTTGGGCTCCTCACTCCATCTGGGTTAGGGGTTGGCTTCCGGGTAAGAGGCTGCCCCCAAAGTGATAGGAATTGTTCCTGCTTTCTGGGGCTGACCGCAGGCCAAGGCACAAAGCCCACAAAACCCCACAGGAGAAAACGCTAGGGAGGGATGTCCCCAACTACAAACAGACATCCTATATATATAAAACTATACGTACTGGGCCTTTACATAGCAAGCATATAAAAATTCTGTACATGTTCCGCTAGCCGCACATGGTATAAATAGACGAAGACAACGTTGTATAAAAAGGAAGGGTGTCCCGGGGTCCCAGCCGCAGTGTCTACGCCGAGGCAGCTCTGCAGTCTCTGGTCCACCGTCTCCAGTTTCCCCAGCTGGACACCTTCGGAGAAGCCCCGGGACTGCTGGAGGTCGGAAGAGAAGGTCACCACGCGCCCGCGGCGGGCTAGGTGGGCGGGGGGCCGTCGTAGTGCAGCATGAGCATGAAGGAGCTGGCGAAGTTGTTGGCCCGGGTGCAGCCGCGGGCCTCCTCGCCGGCCGGCAGCAGGAAGAGCAGCAGCAGAAGGAGCAGGAGCAGCAGCAGCAACCAGAGCGCCACACAGCACGCCTTCCGGAGCAGGGAGCACGGGCCGCGCCCCCACCGCGCCTGCGGAACAAACACAGGACGTGAGCGCCTGCGTGGGCTCATCCGCGATCTGGGGCTGCTGTGAGGTTTGCCAGAAGCAAGATGTCTACCGTTTTCTCGACCCATTCAGGGAGAGGAAGGAGGAAAATAAATAAAATGGCAGGTGGTACCTGGCAGACCCATAAATCCTTGCCTGGTGTATAGACGGTCATCAACCTACAGTGGTCCCACAGAGCAAGTGCTCAACCTCGCAGTGGTGTGAAAGCGAGAGACATTCAGGAGAAGCTATGCTTTGAGTTTCGATCTCTGCACGGGCTACAGGCCTCTCTAGCGACTGGGCAGTAGCAGGAGGCCACAGCTCCCAGTTGGCCCTGGGGCCACAAAGCCAGTGGGCTTTGTGGCTAAGCCTGCTATGATACATGCATCTTCCTCATATAACATTTTCTTTTCTTTTTGTTTTGTTTTGTCTTTTAGAGACAGGGTCTCACTCTGCAGTTCAGGCTGGCCTTGAGCTCACTTTGTAACCCAGGCTGGTCTTGAACTCACAATGATCCACCTGCCTCAGCCTCCTGAGTGCTGGGATTACAGGCATGCACCACCACGCCTGGCTTCATATGACATTTTCAATGGATAAAGACACGACCCCATCGAGCGCCTGTAGGAGGCTACTCACCTTGGCTCTGTAAGTCAGCCAACATCTTTAAAACTCAAATTTCTCACCTAGAAGTGGGGGTAATAAGGGCAGCTCCCTGGCAGAGCTGCTGCACCCATGAAATGTGACAGAGCCTGGCACATCGGGGGCACTCGGGCTTCTGTCCTCTCAGTGTGCACCTTGGCATTCCCACCACCTAAACCCTCGCAGTCACCATCAGGTGGGCAGCCGCTACCATGCAGCCTGCCACGGCCGCTGCCTTCTTTTCCTCCTCGCCCTCCTCCCCACTTCTGCCCCTCTCCCTCCCTGTCCCCTTCCTCCTGTCCTCACCATCACTGTCACCCAAAGGTCAGGCTCACAGGTCCCAGTGCCTGGAGATTTCTCTACTGCATGCTCCCACCATGTCTGTCCCAGTTGTCCCCCAAGTCCTGCAGGAACTAGCTGGGCATAGCTTCCCGGGTGTTCCTGCTGCCAAGGAAGGTAGAGGCCCTTGTAGCTGGGGTGTGGCATGGCGCGGGGCAGGCACTCAGCTCCTGGGAACCCGCAGGGTGGGCTCCAATCTAGACCCCGTCACACACCAGCTGGGTGACCTGGGGCAAGTCAGTGACCTCTCAGTCTGTTCCTTCTCTAGAAAATGGGGATAGAAGGCCCCCCACCTGCTCAGTTGTGAGGACTCAAAGCAAAGTGTGTTCATGCCACAATTTAAAATGCCAAGGGCTGGGGGTAGAGCTCAGTGGCACAAGTGCCTGCCTGGCAAGTGCAAGGTCCTAGTTCAATTCCCAGGACCAAAAACCAAAAGAGTGCCAGGTCCCACCCTCAGTATTGTTAGTCATGGTACTACTACTATTAGCATGTGTGCCATTAGTGTTATTAGTAAAACAGCTCCAGTGATGTTACTATAAAATATATCTGCTGGCTCCCTGTAGACAAAAAGATCACCAAACACCACTGTCAGTGACGATGGTAGCAATGGTGAATGTTGTGGATACTGGCGCTGGTGGTAATGGTGCTTGATGGAAGTAATAACAGTGGTAGTCATGGTGATGATCATGGTGATGTTCATAGCAGTGAGGATAACAGTGATGATGGTCATGGTAATAATGAGTTGATGGAGATGATAATGGTGATGATGTTTGTGATGGTGATGATGATCATGGTAATGGTGGAGATGATAACTGTGGTGGTGA